ACAGAGCAACGATGACGTCCTTGCCAGTCACGCCGGGAGGTAGGATACCGGTAAAAGTAACCTTGGCCACTGGAGGGATCTGCCACCACGTCTTACCGGTAGCCCAAATACTGGCCGCATCGGTTCTCACGATGGGCGTTCCGACGGAGGCCACCGCACCGTAGGTGTTACTGTGACTGTCCGAAGCGACCACCAGTGTGCCGGGCCAGGCAAAGCCTTCTTCAACCATAATTTGGTGACCAATTCCTCGACCGGCGGGATAGAACTCGACACCGTGTTGCTTAGCAAACTCCTCGATTTGGCGGTACTTTTGCAGGTTCTTATCCGTTTTGTTCTGGACATCGTGGTCGAGTGTCATCACGACCTGATCGGGATCGTGCATCTTGGAGGCACCGATCGACATGAACTTCAATGCGACGGGCCAAGAGTTATCATGGGTCATGATCCGGTGGGGAGCGATGGTCACATAGTCGCCGGACTTGACGAACTTGCCTTCGGGCAGTCCTACGGCATATTTCTGAACGATCTTTTCCGTCAAGGTCTGGGGCACGGCCCGGGAGGTCTGCAGGGAGGAGAAGAGGGCGGCGGAGGAAGGGTCATCCAGCTGGGACTGGAAGACATCCTGGAAAAGGAAGCGGGTGGAGGCGAATGCTCGTCGTTGAGGCGTGCTCGGCACGCGGAGGGAGATCCAGCGCCTGCCAGGGCCGGAGGGCAACAAACGCGACTGCATCTTCAGACAGAGGCGTCAAGGATGGGGGGAGGACAGAAGAAAGAAAAGGAAGAAAGTTGAGTGACTCAAAAGTTCACACTTGAAGGCAAACTAAAGGGAAGCCCCGACGCGGACCCAGACCCGATGATCGACCAATCACACGGCACGCATTATTTCTTGCTCCGCGATCGGAGGATTCTGGGGTAAAAGACGGAAGGAAGGTCTATTGTGTCTTGTCTATATACTCTTTTCTATCGTACATGAAATTTTATATTTATGTTTACAATTTCCACACGGCCCAATCCTTTAGGTCCAATTCTTTGAGAATTCCCCGGAGTGGCCCTTGCAATTCCATTCCTTGAGCCCAGAGCTTTGGTCCTGCCATATAGCTAATGAAGCCCTCCGGTCCGGAGACCAGAATTAGGTTGTTTGTGTTCTTGGTTTCTTCCGATTCCTGGGAAGACGGGCCACTGCGGGTGGAGTCCAGGATGAGCTGCTTCCCGATGCTGGTGCCTTCCTCATCGACGAAGTAATCCACGGTCACCTGTCCAGGGTATTGTGACCGAAGAGCCTCCAACTCACGGACTATCAGCGAAGTGCCCGTACTGCGGGGTGCTTCAACAGGGCCGCCTTGGTTGTCCTTCGAAGACGTGAAGAGTCCAGAGAACCACGACCTCGAGGGTGCTGTTGTAGTTGTATTTGTGTCACTCACGCCACCAACGCAGTCCTCCCGCCTTCTGTTGGCCCAGAGGATATGTATTCTAGGCTTATGTGTTTCGTTGGTGCGACGAAGAAGCGTGTGTCCAGCTTGCAGAGCAGGGGCAATTCCCGTGCCTCCGGCGATGAACAAGATCTGCTGCGTATCCGGAGGGATTTCACATTCGATTCGCGGGCCACGTACTTCAATGGGTGCTCCGATCTCTAGACTGTGCAAATAGCGGGAGACCTCGCCGAACGGGTCCTTCCGAATGAAGAAGCGCAGACACTCGTCTTCTTCATCTTCCGAGCAAGTGGCTGGCAGTGGTGTGTAGTCTCTCCCAATCTGCAATTGTGGCTGTTTAAACATCACACTCCAGACACCAGTCTTCCATGCCTCCTCGTAGACGGCATGATTGCTACCATCGGCTGCGGGCGGTTGAAGAACGAAGTAGCTCCCGGTCGACGAGACCGGTTCGCGGGATACTAAATAGTATGGTGTGAACTTCATCTGATTTAGGGTTGTCGAATCTGGACCCTGTTGCGACCGGACCAGGGCACCAATACCCGCCGCAGCGGCAGTTATGAAGGCGAACCGCAGCCATCGTTGCTGCTTCGGCGGCGGAGTAGACGACGGAGAGGAAGTAGAAGACGCCGGCGAGGTAGACGCATGGCGTCTGGAGGGTCGGATCACGAGCCTCCCAACAGTGGGCGACTCATTAAACCGGCGCAACAAGCCCTGAGGGAAAGCGCGGGGCTTCATGGGTGTAGGGAAAAAATTGGGGCAATGGATGGGGAAGTGGAACATGACGCTATAAAAAGCAGACCGGAGATCTCATTGCGCTAAGCCTCATTGGGCCGCGGACGCAGGGAGTCGCATTTCCCTTCATCTTTCCTTCTTTGTCCCTCAATAGATCTTCTTCAATACTTCATGCTTCTTCCTCCCCAAGCCGCTAATTCTTGTCTCTTTCTTATCTGCTAATTCCCATTGTCATTATAGGGGAGGAGGAATTGCCCGTCCACTCGTTGCTCCCGGAAAGCTCCCCCCCGTGGCATGGAACACCGCCCCGTGCCCCATCCTTAACTGCCCGCTCTTGTTCTTCCACCTCCCAACCAGCATTTGTTTCGATCTTCTTTGAGCGGCATGTCCCATATAACCTTTTCGAATTCCGAGTCCAGGTCGGGCAATTACCATGCTCCCAGGGATTCCCTCGAACTGGCGTCCTTAGCCTCTTCGCCCGACTCCGCTCCCAGATCCTCCCGCTCCTCGTCTCCCTCCGGCATTTCGTCGTCGCGCAAGCTCTCCCTCGAAGATGAAGACCCTCTTTCCAGCTCCCATCCACAGTCGCAGGGCCCGTCAGGGCGTCCCCGCTCGGCTCGCTCATACTCGATATCTTCAGCCTTTGACTTCGGGGCGACCTTATTTCCCTTGTCGCAGACGACCGGTGGTTATGCTCCGTTGGGGGTCTCGTCCGCAGACCGAGAGGCTGGAATTGCTGATGGGTCCTTGGAGAGGAACAAGACATTGACTTATATGAACGGTCTATCTCTCGTGATTGGGCTGGTGATCGGCTCGGGTATTTTCTCATCCCCCAGTCAGGTCAATGTCAATGCGGGGTCGCCTGGTGCATCGCTGATTGCATGGGTTGTTGCTGGCTTACTCGCTTGGACGGGGGCAGCCAGCTATGCAGAGCTCGGTGGAGCTATTCCCTTGAATGGAGGCTCCCAGGTGTATCTCTCCAAGATTTTCGGGGAGCTAGCGGGCTTCCTGTTCACGTGGTGCTCAGTCTTGGTCTTGAAGCCGGGAAGTGCGGCCATCATCGCAATTATCTTCGGAGAATACGTCGTAAGAGCCTTTGTCGGCGCAGACGTGGAAACGGTTAATCCCTGGATAAACAAGGCGGTTGCTTTTGGCGGAATTTTCGTGGTGACATTGTTGAATTGTATTTCAACGAGAGTGGCTGCGCGCATTGGTGACCTCTTCATGTTTTTCAAGTTTGTCGCATTGCTGGGCGTCACCATAATCGGTATCATTGTGGCTATCACAGGTCACTCATCGACTGGCAGTGCCAACAAGGAGTGGAAGTCTGGCTGGTTCGAGGGCACGAACCTCGACATATCCGCTTGGGCTGTAGCTCTGTACGCAGGTCTTTGGGCCTTTGACGGCTGGGACAACGTACGTCTTTTACATCCCCAATATCCCGTAATTATCTTTTACTGACTCCACTTAGACGAATTACGTGACTGGTGAATTCAAGAATCCCAACAAGGATCTTCCACGTGTGATTCACACGGCCATGCCACTAGTCATCCTCTCCTATCTCCTTGCTAATATCTCCTACATTCTCGTTCTCCCTCATTCCACTATTGAGGCGACTAATACCATCGCCATTCAGTTCGGCGACAAGGTCTTTGGTCACGTGGGGGCCCTTATATTCGCGCTTATCGTATCCGCTAGTTGCATTGGCGCCTTGAATGCCACGGCCTTCACCAGCGGCCGTTTAGTTTATGCAGCCGGAAAAGAGGGGTATATCCCCTCTATTTTCGGTAAACTATGGACTCGAGATACCTCGACCAACCGACTCCAGCGCCGCTCCTGGGCCACCAAGGTCTTTTCGCGTCTCTGTGGAGATGGCACGCGAATTGGCTTCACCCCCATCTACGCCATGGCGCTGAACAGTACACTCACCCTCATTTACGTCATCGTCGGCGAGTTCAAGACCCTTGTCACCTTCTACGGGGTAGCCGGATACACCTTCTACTTCGTGACGGTGCTAGGCCTGATTATTCTCCGCGTGCGGGAACCCTACCTGCATCGCCCCTACAAGACCTGGATATCCACTCCCATCATCTTCTGCTGCGTTAGTCTCTTCCTCCTCAGCAGGGCCGTCATTGCAGAACCGCTCCAGACATTAATCGTCGTCGCGTTCATCATCGCCGGTATCCCTGTCTATTACTGGCGCATCTACAAACGCGATGGACGTAAAGCGTTTCCGAACTGGAAATTTTGGCAGCGCCAGTGAGATCCATCCTATAATTTCCTTCATGACCCCTCAACAACAACAACGAGAAACAGCCGGTAAATTAGTTATGATATGACCACTACTATTTATGTTTTTCTTATAATACTTTCCCCTTATTTCTTCTTCTCGGGATGTTTGTCTTCTTCTTATAATGTTATTATATTTTTTATTCATTCTTATTTCTTTCTAATTTCCCCCTTTCGTTTCTTCTACCCATAGCGTACTATGCTATATATCGGTCGGGCTTGGTTGGATGGACGGTTCTCCCATGAAAATCATCTGCTGTGATACCCATTCGCATATTATCCGGGGTTATGTTGCATGACGGAAAAGCCAGTTCAAGTGGGAAAGGCTTCAAGGCATTTGCTTTCAGCTTTGCATATCATCATCGAAGTCATGGTGATGGGTGGTGTCTCATCTTCCTTTTCTTTTGGGGGTCTTTTTCTGGGGAACGGGGTCATATGCCATATATACAATTGTATTTAATAGAGATTAAAACGAAACAATGAACTGAGTCTTCCGCATAGCTATGGCTAGTACCATAGATATCAGAGCTCGGTGTCATGATGGTTCTATAATTCTATAATTCTCCAAAATCTAGCCTAACTACTCTGTCATGTGTCAGTTACCATGAATTAAAACATGGTATCTCACTCGCGCGTCGAATTGTTCCTCATTCTCAATTGCTCGATCAACGAGACACGATCAGGTTTATCGAGGCCCAACCCATCCCAACTGTCTGCCTGCAGAAGCATAGCCGGAGGATCATCATGATTAGTCTCTCCCTCAGCGAAGAAACGCAGTTCACACTGAGAGGCTTGGTCAGGTTGCAGATAGATGCGGGTAGAGATGACGGTACGCTCGTTCACGAACACTTCGAGCACGCTCTTGTCCCAGAATGCGTGGATTTGTAGCGTCTCTTCTTTTTGTTCGCCGGATGGGGTTTCAAACGTGAATAGCGTATGAGGAGCAGTCTCTGATTCATGGTTAATGCGGGAGTCATGCGGAATTGGTCGTTGGATGCAGAAGGTTTCGCTGGCTGGTTCCCAGTATAGAAGAGTACGGCACGGTCGGTCTGCATGAGCTAATTTGTATTGGTGGACTGTTAGTGGGGGTTGAGAATTGAGAAGCCTAGGATGTATGCCGGTGTGAGGGGAAGGGAAAAACATACCGAGGCCATGGTGAATTTCTATGCCTACTCTGCCGCATCGGTCGCTGACAGAGAATTCGGTGTCGATCTCCCATTTAGATGTTGTCAGAGAAAAGTGGGCGTTTGGTGGAGAGATACAGCTGTCGAGTGTGCTTAGGGGCAGATGCTCAATATGCATACTGCTCGTCTTACTGCGAAGAGCTTTAAGTCGTAGGTCTGGGACAACACCCAGCGTCCGGATGGTAAACGTTTCCTGGCTCTCCTCTTGTGCTTCGATCGAGGTGATAGCACTCAACTCCGAGCGCCGAGCTTGTTTGACATGGCGCAGGGTGATCAGTTTCACTACCCGTGGGATAGACAACATGCTGCTCCATCCTTGTTGGTGCCGTAAATCATCTGGCAGGTCATCTTCTGTAATCCAGCAATAGACTATCTGTTGGCCTGTGACTGGGTCCCAGAAGCTATTTGCCGCATAGGCGCAACCGTGATCAAAGACCCCAGAAAATGCATAGGAAGCGAGAGCGTCGGTTGTGCTACGCGGTTGGGTGCTGGAGCAAGGCTTGATGGACATCCAAAGCTGTGCTCGAGGCGTCTTTTTTCGGCTTTTGTCGGGTAAACGACCTCCCTCAGCCCCCATGAGGATAAACAATCGAGTAACATCCTCGTCGTCGGTCATGGGAATCCAGTTGACGACTTCCCAGTTGACCCCCAGATCGCCGGACCAACGGGAAGGTTGGAAATTGAGCCCAACGTCAACTAGCGGTCCCAAGTACTTCCACTGTCGTAAGTCGTGAGGATGGATGGAATACACAAAGGCTGTTGGGGTCTGTCCGGCGATCCCTCCGGAGATAAGACCGCAGAGTTCGGAGGATGGAAATGCCTCCGGCAGTTCCTGCATGAACTGCCAGACGCCAACGAAAGGATCCCGCCAGCCTGTTACTTTGACATTCGGGGGGGAGCGTGGTATAACTGGGTTGCAGTCAAGACGCTGCCATGTCAAACCATGGTCATGCGAAGTGGCTAAACTGACTGACTCGGAGCCAGGCACATACGGCAACGTGTAATGAATGGGAAGGCGCTTCACTGATGTATATATAACAGTAAGGGCATTTGGGGCCCCATCTACGGCGTTAGGTCGGAAACAGCCTGTAAAGACACCGCACTGGTCATAATCGGTGGTGGGCTGCAGACATGGCTCGGGGTAGACATCCCAATGGAGCAGATCATTAGAAACCGCGTGCCCCCAAGACATATTTCCCCAGTCATTGCCTTTCGGGTTCCACTGAAATGACAGGTGATAGAGCCCGGTTGCAGGATCATGGCCCAGACCGCACGGATCATTCATCCACCCCTGGGGGGCAGTGAAATGGTAGGATGGCTGCCATCGCTGGGCGTCATCTGAGAGGCTAGTTTGCCGCTCCATGCGATTTGATCTCGAGTGGAAACTTGGAAAAGCGATAGCGTTGTGGTTGGTTGCAGAGACGCTTGGAAGTGTCTCGAGGTTGAATCGCTTGTCAATTTCAGTAGTACTCTCTCCATCGGCAAGCAATGACGGGAATTCTCCTATCAGGCAAAGAAGCAATCAGTCGTCGCTTTAGTGACGCCTTATCACAATATCTCCCGATAAAGCTCAAAAGGTCCGGGAGTTAACGGCGGCAGCAGCAGCAGCAGCAGCAGCAAAAATTCGGTCCAGCCGAGCTTGTCTGCCTGTAGTGAGTGGACGACAAATCTTGCTCGAATTGTCGCGTCGTGGGGCAAGGCATGATTCAATCAATCAATCAATCAATCAATCCCCGGAGGATCTTCGGCGAAAAAAAGAACCCCAGACTTCAACTCCCACTCTATTTCAAACATGGATATCCAGCATATTGTGGGGAATGAAAAGGTATCGCTACACCAAGTTGTATCAATCAACGCGGAGAGTTTGTCCCCAGGACTGGCACAATTGAATCCAAGCCTGTCCTATCCTCCATAGGTATCATTTCATCAATTCTTCCCCGTAAAAGATCGATCCAATGATAGAGTTTAAGCCAAGGGACGATGGCTGGAGATAGGATCCACTAGCGTGGCAAGTGGAGCCACAAGAGAGAAACCCTGCCAGTGTCTGCATCCCATCTTTGCTAAGAGGATTGCTTGGTAGGGCAATAAATAGAATCCCCCATGGGCCTGCGACAACAATTTTTCTGGGGACGGGCTGGGTGACGCGTCTTCCCCCCTTGACATTCTACTAGGCTTTGTTTCTTGCAGATATTTCTCTTACCAGCCTGATGAGGTGTTCACCATTAAGGAGATCAATGAATTATAATGATTGATTGGCGTCTGCGATGCCATTCAATTTCTTGCGTTTACATGCATGGGCACAACCACAATGTCCAATGAATTGGAAATCCATGCCCCTGACACCATAAAAGATGTCAGCCATGTACAGCATGTTGATTTCGCCTCAGACAGCAAAACCTCCTCCAAGGAGCGTACAGTCAATTTCTTTCTGCTTCTGACCTGCGCTGCTTTCGGTTCGGCTTCACTGGTGTTCGGTTTCGATGACAAGATAATTTCACCGGTAGCTGCATTGGCGCCATTTGTAAGTGTCAATGAACCCTTTGTGAAACAACGTCACAGGAATGGTTCCATTGGGCTAACGGCATGATTAGGTCGACAAATATCAAGGGCCTGAGCCACTAACAGGAAAGCTGGTCTTGACGGCTCGTAATCAAAGCATTCTATTCTCCATCCCTCTAATAGGCTCCATCCTGGGCGGTTTGGCTGCCTCTCCGCTGAATTCAAGGTTGGGTCGGAAGTGCCCCTTGTTAATTGCCTATACAATCTCCATCGGCGGCAGCTTGCTCCAGGTCCTAGCCCCAAATCTGGGGGCATTTGTTTCTGGTCGATTTATCAACGGGATCGCTACAGGGATTGCCAATAGCACGGCTCCCTTGTATCTAGCAGAGGTGTGCATGCCGGTGCTCTAGGCTTTCAGGGAGTCTCACTCACCGTATTACAGGTCGTTCCTGCCTCTATGAGAGGCAGAAGTGTATCGCTGATTAATATTCTCACCCTGGTAGCTGGTGTCCTGGGCACCATCGTGGTGTTGTGCACCCACGACTTGAGGGGCTCGAGTTCGTACCGGATTCCTTTAACAGTCCAATGTGTCCTTCCTGCGTTGCTATTCATCTGGACCTTGCCTTTGCCCGAGAGCCCGCAATGGCTTGTTTCTAAAGGCAGGCTGGACGCGGCTCGCAGCAACTTGCGAAGACTGCGCCGCTGCAGTGAACAACGGGTCGACGAGGAGCTTCGAGATATGGAACTTTCCGAAGGACACGCTTCTGATGTGAACGTGTCCTTCATGGAAATATTCTCGAAAAAGCACCTTCAGCGCACTTTGACTGCCGGGTCTTTTTACTCTCTGAACCAGGTTTCAGGCATCATTCTTTCAACAACATATAGCACGGTCTTCCTGTCCGGGATTGGAATCGGAGACCCATTCACATTAACTGTGATAGCTTCTTGTTGCACTCTTGCGGGTACAATCGCTGCGCCGTTCATGTTGGACCGGGCTGGCCGCCGCCCTACCGCGTTAGCGGGCATGAGCATCCTCTTCATCATCGACCTTGCGGCTGGTGGTCTGGCGTTCAACAAGGGGAACCGCCATTCAGCCATAGCAATTGCGGCCTTGTCCTTTGCGTTCAACTTCTTCTGGGCCTCCTCCTTCTCCCCAATATCGACGCTGCTGCCTTCGGAGATGGCTACTCCTAAGCTTCGTCACCACACCATGGCATATACAATCGCCTGCGCCCAGACCACCGCAGTGATCACGACTCTGGTGGTGCCCCAGCTAACAGCACCCGATGCAGCAAATCTGGGGCCAAAAACTTATCTTGTTTTTGCCGGCTGCATGGCGTGTATCCTGATCTTTGCCTATCTTTGCATCCCAGAGACCAAAGGCCGCACATTCGTGGAAATTGACGCAATGTATAATGCCAATATTCCTGCACGGAAATGGAGGCAGTATTGGCACTCGCTCGAAAAGGCCACTGGCTCTGATTCCCAAGGCTCCACAAAGCCTCCATAGCGGCAGCTTGAAGAGAAAGCCGACTTAACCAGCGGGTGCTGTCATCGGTGTAGGAAATATGAAGCTGTAACACTTATTTTCTATGGCGCTGTATTTTATAGTACACTATAGTCTGGCTGTTTTCAGTATCAGGGCGTGGTGTTTCTATTGTACCAAAGAGTGCGCTTAGACCAAACCAAAAAGATAGGGTAACAGTTTCCTGAACCACATTGTGATAAAACCTAGAACGCCAAATATATAGTAAGGACACGGAAGAAGAAAAGAAATTTCAGGATAAGCTAGGGAAGGCATGGATGCCGGCAGTATGCAAGCTCTTATTATTGTGAGCCCCAAGCATGACCGGTACCGTCCAATGAGCTCAGTAATGTTCGATACCTTTCCATGAAAGGATGGTTTCCACCTCGCAGACTGTTCAACAGTAAGAGGAAATCTTCCGTTAGAGTTTTGGAAACCAATTGACTACCAGCCATTGGTATTTGAGGGCTGGGCATGGTTCTCGCTGGTGATGCCAATGTGGTGCCCTTCGCAAGAGGCATCTGGACATTGAACAAGACGCTAATGGCGCCGACTGCAATGTCGTACAACTTCTCAGCCTACTTTGATTAGCAAATCTGATAGAAAAATATTCAAGGTTGTACATACAAGCCCAATTCCGTGAGCCTCCATGGAGCTCAGCCGCAAGGATCGACAGATGTCAAGCGTCTCTTTTGCAACAGATACGGCGTAGTGGAGCCCGAGTTCATGGTGTTCAGATGCAGCCCGCAGTAGCCCATGAGTGGAACAAAGCACCCAAATACGATTCTGAAGCCATTTTTTCGTGATAAAGACGTCTGCACATTGAGTTTCTCGTAGACCTATTGCCGGCCGGTTTCCCTGGTTATCGCCCAGGGATGACTTCGAGCGCTCAAACCAGTCGTAGCCTTTATATCGTTCCGACTCGCTAACTCGGCTAAGATTCTGATGGATCGTTAAGGCCTTGGCTTCCGTAAGCTTCTCGCAGTATCCAGCGCTGATGTTGCATCTTTGGTTCCAGCAATCGACAACATCCTCGTCAATAGCATCAAACAATTCCATCAGACGAGCGAGGCCCATCATCCCCTCGGCATCTTTTTCGTTATGGACGATGATGCCAGACACAACACTATGGGTGGCAGTATGAATGAAGTCATGAACAGGTCGCATGCTGAAGCCTGGTCGACCCCAGAAAGTGATGGGATGCCTTCGCTGTAATGCATAAGCTCTGTAGGAATTGTTAGTTAGTGATAACTCCAAGAAGCCCGATCCAAATGTACAGTACCTCTCCGTAATTGACAGAACTAGATACGTCCGTAAGCGTTGTCCCTTCTCGTCGCTGGGTAAATCTCGATACGAATCCGGGTTGTTCAACCCCATTGTAGCAGCAAGGTCGAGAGCCTCCCTTAGGCGGAGCCATGCGGCGTTATGCTGGTTGCTGCCAAACAGGCACCCGAACAGGAAGAAACTGGTAAGGACCGCTTCTACTGTTGGGTGTTCCCCAAAATCAGAGCAGCTTCGCATTTTGGTCGCTTCGTTCATCATAGACCGAGCTTGGTTGGCTCGAGAAGAAGACGTAGGTCGCTCGGCGATTTCAATTGGTTGGGTAAGGGAAAATGCGCACAATGCGAGAAGCATGGCACCAAATTGCGGGTTTCTGCGATGCTCCTGGGACAACATTCGGATGAATAGTGATGAACGGTTTAGCACCGGTAATGTTGGATGCAAACGATCAAAGTAGACGTCAATCCAGGGTATCATGTTTGCTTCCACAATGGATGAGGGCCAGAGCGTGTTTGTTTCATTTGGGGGTGGATGGAGGACACTGGGCCCGGACATGGGTACACTTGCTGCCTCTACTGGGTGTGACTGTAGACCTGCAGAAGCAGCCTCTGTTTGTATGATAGATGGAAGCGAGGCTTTCAGGTAGATGTTACTGCCCGGAAAATCGAACACGGGTACCTGAGCATCCAGTGTATCTGGAAGCCAGTATTCGACATCAGTGCGCTCATTCCAATTGACGCCGCTATTACTATGAGTTTCGATTTGAGGGGCCCCGGAACTCCAATTAGGGGCAATTGGGGCGGGTGGTTGAGGATGAGAAAGCTCCACGGGTACCGAGGAGGCCTCACTATGCATGGGCCAGTGTGCGGCATCCTGAATTGGCTGGACGGCATTGGAGCTCCCATCTCCCCGGGATGGTGACTCCGTTTGATAAGCGAAAGCACCTGAGAGGGGGTTGGAAGCTACTTGGCTCTGTGAGCTATTCAACCCCGGTAAGTTGGTCTGCTGTTGCCGGATCTGAGACACACGGCTTTACATACGCAACGGATTAAAATGGTTAGATTAATGAACATGAAAAATGGAAGCAAGTCAAAGCCAGGGCAAGCATTCAAACTCACTGTCCAGTGGGACCACGTTTCTTCTGCGGTTGAAAAAAGGTGCATTCAAAGCCCATGGAAACACATGCCCGGCATGGTTGGGATAGACTACACTGCAGTTACTGAGGCGATTAGCTCGGCCGGCCAGACTCGGAAAGACAGTTCAGGATACACGGGTGGACCTCGGAGGTTTTTCTGGGAAGAACTAAGGAAATAAAAAGCAGACAGGAGGATCCCAGATCGGAAGGGGTCCGTAGGAATCTAAGTATATTACTTGCCTTGATCTTGCGGAACTTGCATTGGTCGCACGCACGTTTCGCAATTGCGCCGGAGGACTTCTTTCGGGACTCGGTGCGGATGGCACCGGTCATCGCTGATGTTGCAGCGGCACCAGAGTCGGGGGGATTCATGGTGGCATGTCCTCCAAATTATTGAGGCTGAATGGTGGAAGGAGGGAACTTAGTAATCGAGAGACAAGTAAAAAGACAACATTGAACAATGCATCTCACGAGTCATGAGCATTGTTGGTGAACAGGTCAAAATTGTTTTCCAAATTCCAACACGCCTCGGAGCTCACAGCCAGTGATGGAAGGCGTCGGCAGCTGAGTGAGGAGAAACGGGGAGATTCGAAGGGGAAAAGCTGGCCGGCGTGTGGCCGGTGTTTCCAGTTGTGGATTTGATCCTGGTGGGGATTCATTCCCCCCACTCCATTTCTAATCCAATCCTTTTTCTCTCTCCCTCTTAAACAACCCTGACTTTATTCTCGAAGGGATTACTCCGTATTGGATACAATTACAGTTTCCCCAGATTCTCTTTCGGGATTGTCTTTTTTTCAAATACGTTTAAAACATTCTCTTCCGCTTGGACAGTCTCCCCCAGAAAAAAAACTATTTGCCGGTTGATCAGCGATCCCCCCGGAATTACTTCAGCATGCCTGACTAGCCAAGGTTCAATCAATCCAAATGCTGTCTAATCCGTTCTGTTAGAATCTAATCTAGCAATGGGAGGTCTCTTTTTCTTATCAGAACTGTTCATTATTATTACTAAGTAATAATAATTATTATACAAATTAATAGTTAATAAAGATG